GCCAAGGTGAGCGCGGGGCGGCCGTGGGGCACGGGGCGGCCGTGGGGCGCCCGCTCAGGCGCTGCCCGCGCGCAGGTTGCCGACTGCGTGTGCCTCATGGCGCTGGACAAGGCGGAGGCGGTGCCCGTGGACACGCACGTGTGGCGCCTGGCGCGGCAGCACTACGGCATACCCGCCGCCAGCCTCACGGCGCGGGCGCACCGCGACATCGGTGCGTGCGGCGCGGCGCGCCCCGGTGTGCACGGTGCCCGGCGCACACGGCCTCACGCGCTCCCTTCCCGCAGGCGACTTTTTCCGCGGGCTCTGGGGCGCCCGCGCGGGCTGGGCGCAGGCGGTGAGTCCCCCTCCCGGCGCCCTGGTGTCACCCCTGGCCGTGTCAGCGCTGGCGGTGCCGGTGCCAGCCCCGCTGTCCCCTCGCAGGTTCTCTTCTGCGCCGCCCTCCACGCGGGCCGCAAGGCGACAGGCAGCAGCGCTCAGCCCAAGGGGCGCCGGGCCCAGGGCAGGGTCCCCTCCTAGGGACCCCTCTGCCACGGGGAGCAGCCCCGGGGTGTCACGGGGACCCCGGCTGCGCCGCGGCCGCCTGGCTGTGCACGGCGCTGGCGCTGCGGCCCGCGTGGGACCGGGAGCTGGTGCCAGCCCTGCCGCGGGGCCGAGCGAAGACGGGCAGCGTTTGCCTCTTTCCTTTATTACAAGCAATAAAATAGAAACATCCATTTGGAAAATTGTTCTCGAATAGAGCGTGCCGGGGCGGGGAGGGCGCGCGGGGACGGTGCCGGTGCAGGGCAGACGGGGCCGGCCGGCCGGATGGACGGAGGCGGCAGGGCCGGGGTGCTCGGGCTGAGCACGGGACCCACCGCGTGCAGCCCCGTCTGCGGGAAGGGAGGAGCAGGGTCCCCAGGGGGGCAGACAGGGCCAGCGCAGGGGGATGCCGAGGAAGGGCACCCTCCTCCTCCTCCTGCTCCCGTGGCGCTGCCGCCCTGGCGGCAGGGACCCCGCTGCGGGCCTGGCGCCCCCGTGCGCTGCCCCGGCGCCCTCCCGGTGCCGGTGCCGCGCTCAGTCCCGCGGGAGCCGCTGAGCCCCGTTTGCCGGCGAGCGCTCGCAGTGCGAACCTGGCCGAGCAGAGCGGGGCTCAGCGCCGCGCCGGCTCCGTGCCGCGTCCCGCCGCGTCCCGGCCTCACCGTTGCTGGTGCCGCCGAGGCGGTCGCTGCAGCAGGGCCCGGCGGGCGGCCCCGGCGCCGGCCCCTCCTGGCTGGTGCCCAGGTGCAGCTTGCGCATGTGCCGCACCACGGCGGTGGCGTTGAAGGCTTGCTGCACGCGGCGAGCGCGGCGTCAGCCCCTCCGCGCCGGCGCCGGCGCCGCCCCGCGCCCCGCCGCGCTCACCTTCCACTTGCTCTTGGCAAAGTTCTTCTTGATCTGCTCGCTCACCGACTGGTGGATGTTCTTGTCCAGGGCCGTGTCCCCGGCGATCCTGGGAGGGGGCACAGGGCACCGGGGACCCCCAGGGAATGGGGGGACCCTGCGGCGAGCGAGGGGACGCGAGGCAGGCCGGGCCCCCGCGCTTACCAGGGGTGCTGCAGCGCCTGCTCGCACGTGAAGCGCTTGCCGGGGTCCTTCTCCATCAGGTGCTTGATAAAGTCTTTGGCTGGGGCCAAAGCGCAGAGGAGCAGCCGTGAGCTGGGGCCACCCGTGGGACCCGCCCCGCGTCCCGCAGGGCACCTGAGTCGGAGATGTCGTCCCAGTAGGGCGAGTCGAACTCGTACTCGGCGCGCAGGATCTGCTCGAAGAGCTTGGCGTCGTTCTCGTCGTAGAAGGGCGGGTAGCCGCAGAGCCTGGGCGGGCAGCGGGGAGGCTGAGCGGGGGGCGCCCGGGGGCCGGCGCGCCCGCCGCGGCGCCCGCCGCACGCACAGGATGTAGGCGATGACGCCGATGGACCAGCAATCCACCGCCTTGCTGTAGGGCTTCTGCGCCAGCACCTCGGGGGCTGCGGAGGGCACAAGCCAGGGCTAAACCCCCGCCCGCAAAGCGGGGGGCCCTCCCCGCGTCCCCCCGCCGCGCACCGACGTAGCCGGGCGTCCCGCAGGCCGTGGACATGACGCTGCCGCAGCCCTCGATCTTGGAGAGGCCGAAGTCGCTGATCATGATCTTGGAGTCCTCGTCCAGGCTG